AGGGGGGACATCTAATGTTGACTTGTGGTTTTGTGGTTTGGTCTCTGTTCAGGTCATGTGCCAGTCAGACAACCAGATCCTAAGTCACTGCTTCCGCAGAGAGGAAGTCATAGACCAGAAACGCCCAGAGATGGTAACAAATCAGTCACACTCTCTATGTTGATCATTTGTAGGCATGATTTAAAAAAACAGAAAATACACTCTGAGAATTTCACATCATTTAATTTTCTTTTGTTGATCATTTAGGCTGCCACTCAGTTCAAAAACAGCCTGATGAAACTTACAGAAATCCTCAGGTCTAAAGAGCCATCCTATGTGCGCTGTATCAAACCAAATGACGCCAAGCAGCCAGGTACATGTTTCACATCCTGTCATATTAATTGGGATATATAAGCGTTTTTATTTGGGAGGGTCCGGGTCTCAAATAAAGGCTTTATTAGAAGATCCTAAATACAGATGAAGAAAAACAATGTAAAGGTTACCCGTCTAATACTGGCTGCTGTGTTCTCAGTTTTGTCACACGGCAGTGAACTAGAAATGATGTTTAGTTGGTGATTCATAAACTAATTATGTTTGACCTAATTCTTTTCTTACGTTTCCCGTTCTCAATCAAAACCTCTCAGAAAAGGAAATACCTTCTTAAACACTCTAATAGTGAAGGTGGAAGATGTTTTGTTTGATTCAACAACAAACTAGCATGTGATTACAGAAGGTTATAAGTTAATCTAACAAAAGGAATTTTGATTCAGTCGCAACTTTTTTAATAAAAATGTCCTTTTTATTTCAAATAAATAAAACCCCCCAGCTTCTTAATGTATGTAATGAAGCTTATCCTGCTGTGTGGATTGTGTTTCATATCATTGGCCAGAAATATTTCTTTGTTACTAATAAATACGGTTTCTGTCCCTGCAGGAAGGTTTGATGAAGTTCTGGTTCGACATCAGGTGAAGTACCTGGGCCTGATGGAAAACCTGAGGGTCAGGAGAGCTGGCTTTGCATATCGTCGGCGCTTTGAAGCCTTCCTGCAGCGGTATTTCACAGTTGCAGTGGCTGTTTACTTTATGTTCATTCTTCTTTTATTGTAACCGTTCATAAATGCTCTTAGGTATAAGCCCCTGTGTCCTGAGACGTGGCCCAACTGGCATGGCAGACTCGCAGATGGAGTTTTGACACTGGTTAAGCACCTGGGATACAAAGATGAAGAGTACAAACTGGGGAGGTAACTTGTTTAATGTTGTATGCAAGGGATTTAATCACACTTCATTGCAATAAGTGTCCATTGAAAGGCACACTGATTTTGTGTTGATCACAATTTTTTTTTTTTGGCTGCTTTCTGCAGATCAAAAATCTTCATCCGTTTTCCAAAAACTCTTTTCAATACTGAAGATGCTCTAGAAGCGAAAAAGCCAGAGATAGGTAAGCAGCAATAGCAAGGATTATCAAACTGAGGGCGTCACAACTGAAATAAAATATAAGGTAGTGATGCAAATATTCATGAAACACACTTCTAATGACTTTAGAGTGTCAAAGATGTGAAGCCTTAGCTTTTTGGGAGGTTTTAGTGAAACAGCTCCTGACTTTAATCATCAAAATGAACACATTTTAAACACAATTATAAGGTACGCAGTAAAACTATATTCCTCATGTTTCAGCACTGACCCTGCAGACATCATGGAGAGGCTACAGAGAGAGGGCCAAGTACCAACGCATCAGGCGTGCAGGTCAGACCACCTCCAGCTGTTGGCGCTCTCATACTTTGCCACCTTTCTCCTTAAAGAATAGCCCCTAAAATGAGAATATACAAGTGTTTAATGTGTTTGTATAGTATTGTTACATTGGACCTACCTGCTTGGTACAAATGCATAAATCTGCATTACAGCTTTGTTTCATTTTCCCAGCATTCCTTTGTGGGTCTAAACTGACTTTATATGTCTGCTGCACTAACGTTGGGGTGTTCTCTTTGGCTGAGTATAAGAGCTGTCTTGGTGTTTATACGTGCATGTGTGTATATATATATAGTGATAGTGATCCAGTCGGGGTGGCGAGGGATGAAAGCACGCAGGAGAGCTAAAAGGCGTCGCCAGGCTGCTGACTTAATTCGCAGGTGCTTGAATGAAACTTTTTTTTGGCGTCTAGTTTTTGGTGCTGTACTTTGCAAAATATAATAATTTCCATCATGATTTTTGCATTTTTTTTCCCAGGTTCATTAAAGGCTTCATCTACCGTCATGGGGAATACGGTCCTGAGAATGACTATTTCCTGGATCATGTTCGTTACTCCTTCTTGAAAAATCTACGCAAAAACCTGCCCAAGAGTGTTTTGGACAAATCCTGGCCGACACCTCCTCCGTCTCTCGATGAGGTGCAAAAACCCCACATTCAAATTGAGTCCCCCTGCTGTCTAAGATCATTGCACACAGATAATATGATATTTGAATAGATAGTCTGCATTGTTAATTCTTTGGTCTCCTACAGGCATCGGAGCACCTGCAGAGGCTGCACATGCGGAACATGGTCACAAAGTATTGCTGGAGAGTCCAGCCCGAATGGAAGAAGCAGGTACACTGATAACAGAAGATGGTCTACCTGTTATCTTGTTGTTGTATTTTCCTGCAAGATGGTCAGATTGCAGCTGACTGGCTTTCATTTAGTTGTTTTGTTTTAATCTTTATTTAAATCTCACTTGATTTTTGTTTGTCCTCTAGATGATGCAGAAGGTTGTAGCCAGTGAGATCTTCAAGGATCAGAAAGACAGCTACCCTCAGAGTGTTGGAAAGCTGTTTTTGGACTCCAGGCTTGGTACACGTTTATGTATTCATTGTCTTTGCACTTGTTATCCACCACCCACTGGCAAGCATAAAAAATTCACAGAGCATTTCTACTGCTTTATACAGAACGTGAGCAAATCAGTCTCAAAGTCGTCCAGACTCTGGGCAATGACAAAGTGCAGGTAGGGTTTGTTTTTTTTGTTTAAAGCCTGATGGCGATAATAAATGCTGCTTTGGAGTAATGCGTCTCCTTGTCCTTTTCAGTACGGTGTTTCAGTCATAAAGTATGACAAAAGGGGTTTCAAGCCGCGCCCTCGCCAGCTGCTCCTCACTAACACCTTTGCTGTGTTGGTGGACAAGACCAAAATCAAGCAGAGGATCGACTACACAGCTCTGAGAGGTGAAAACCAGCCCTGAGAAGGGGACAGTTTTACAAATGTGGTATATTGAGATAGTTATTGAGATAATGTTCTTGAATTCATCACTTGTAAATGCATATTTTTTGTAAGGGAGGAATCTTTACAGTTTTAAATCCTGCTTCTTCTGTTTTTTTAAACGTCCATCTGCGGTCACAAAATCTAAACGGCTTTTTCTGGAAACTTCAGCTCAGTCTCTGGAGACTCTCAAGCAGAAGTTTCCATATCTGGATGATAAAGTGGACTGTGAACTTATCAGCTACTGGTAGCAAACTATACAGGTTCAAGTTCACGCACGTATTCTAATTAGTGCTGTAAAACAATGTAATAAAAACCTTCACAAATTCGTGGATGGGCTTTACACGGGAAGTCGTTATGAGTCAGATAATTCTCTGCAGACTTGAATCAACAGAGGGGATGTCTAGCAGTCAGCAGCTGCCTCTGCAGGAACACTCGTTACTCATAACGGTCACAGACTTAACTCCGGTGTGCATATGAATCAGCTAAGAATGATTTGCCCCATACAGTTGTTATCATAGGGGAAAACTATCCACAGAGATCAAAACTGTTTTGCACCAGACTGTAAAAGATGTTGTAAAGTTGGGGACTTTTAAGATCGGAGTCTACGGGGAATAACTTGCTTTTGGAGTTAGCCTCAAGTTGCTATTAAAGGTTTCTGGCACTTTTGCAATGGCTTCGTGTTACAGTTCAGGAGGTCACCACATCACTGCTAGTTATTCCATTATGCACATTGTGACTGTTCAGTGTGCGTTTAGTGATTTGTTTTGTGTTTTTTCTTGAAACAGATATCGCTTTGAGCTCTCTCAGTGATGGGATGTGTGTTCTTCACATCACAAGGGAGGACAATAAACAGAAGGTACAGTAGGACACAACAGTCATGCCTGTGTGGAATAAAGCAACCATGCAGCCACTCTAAAGCCCGCTGTCTCTCCCACAGGGGGATCTGCTGCTGCACTGCAGCCACTCGATCGAGCTGGTAACAAAATTAGCCATGATGGCCAACAAGACCAGCAACGTCAACATCAACCCGGGCAGGTAAGATTCAGACTGACTGCTTCTGTGTGGTGGTCACCATCAGTCCATCTTATCATCTGTTCTTGGCACGCAGCATCCAGTTTACTGTGGCCCGAGGCAAGGAAGGAATAATTGATTTTGTGAGGGGCGCAGAGCTGAAAGTGACCAAAGGCAGACGAGGACATTTGCTAGTGGTGAGTCAGCGGCTGCTCTGATATCATGTGGGGAGCCTGCAGACAGGGAGGGGTGTTTTGATACCAAAAACATTTGATAGCTGACTGTGTTCGATCTGATTTCACTCTTCAGACTGCCCCTCAGATCAACGCCACATGAAGACACAGAAAACCAGCTAACTGATCAGTTTGCAGCTTACAGGAGAAAACCACAGAATACAAAACATGCCCGACAGAGTGCTTATTGATTCATATTCTGTACATCTTCATTATAACAAGATTATCTTCAGTGTTGCATTAACTATTGATAACCAAAGATGAAAATTAAGACATGAAGTAGTCGCCATTTCAAATGCTGTAACTCTTTATTGAAAAAAATACAAAATATTTATCAAATATAAAATGTCTTCTGTAAAACACTGTATTACATATTGCAAGAGAATTAAAATAAACCACTTTGAAATAAATAGCATTGTAATAAATATTTCAATAAATAGCAAAATATCTTTGGAAAGTCCACTAGATCGAGGGCGTGGGTGGAAAAACAGGATGTTGGGAAGCGTTCTCGCCGTTCTGAAAGCTCATGTCTAACTTACAGTCAGAGGTGAGACAGAAACTCTGGGAAATACCCAAGAAAGCCCTTAAAATGAGAAGGAATAAAAAGCAGACTCGCAATAATCAGAGCCCCTCGCGAAATGTTAATAAAAACACTTGAATGAAAACTATCACAATCTTTCCAGTTTGATCAAAGTGCTGAGAGTCAGTTCAACTATTTCTTCCTTTTTTCTCTTTGACTTTGTGCGCATGTGTGTGTGTGTGTGTTGTCTTTTTTTCAGTTTTGAGTCATGACTGTATTTTCGTAGCCAGTAAAAGAAAGTCTCTTGCCAGCTTGGTGAGGTAAAGGTCCAGATCCCTCAGGATGATGTAACCTTCCACTCGGCTGTCCCATACTGTCCTGGACCTGCTTGCTGGGTTCAGGCGTGTTTGTGCCAAAGCAGCTGCTGGCCTTTTCCAAGAGCTTCTCAAAGAGCTCATCTAGAGGAGAAAGCAAAACAAATCTTATATCAGACCATTTTTGATGTCACTTCCTCCACAGGGAAGGGGGGATGATGAAATGTGGGTGGATTTCAGTAAAAAGACTGTTGATACCTGAGTGCTAACTTGGCTAATCAGGTCCCGCAAGTCCAGCTGAATGTGTCTGATGTTCTGAGTTAGAGTTGTCCGAGCATCCTGCACCATCTTCTGATCTTTCTCCTCGTTCTCCAGCTGTATTCTCTTCCACTCCAGCATATTCCAGTAGGTTTTCATGTCCCAGAAAGCGGCATGCAGTCGTTCCCACTCCTGAACGCACAAGTGACAAGCACATGATTACATAATGAAGCGTTGCACAACCCCATCTGTGCTTGAAGTTTCAAAAAGGGGAATTCCATGCAAATTTTTACAAGCATTTTTATGCTGTAAAAGCAAACCTTCTGACAGAGTCATCAGGTTTCTTTCTTTTTTTTTGTTTGTTTTTTTGTTCTCCTCATAATGGAAAAGGTCAAAACAAGAAATTCTCAGAATAACACCAAAAGTTAATCAGAGAATGATTTTCTATGAAAGTGTTTTGAAACACAGAGGGACTTACTAACCGTCAGATTAATCCACCGATAGAATTCTGTGGAAAGTGAGGGCAGGTCCTTCAAGTGTCGGCTTCTGTCCTCAAACTGCCCGTTTCCCAGCTGCTGCTCCTTCTATAAATATTACACAAAACAATAACTTATAAGTTTAAGCTGAGAAAAAAACAAAACAACTAGTGTCAGACCATGGAGTAGAACTAAATTTAGTACTTACATATTTCCCTAGCAGCTGTTGCACACGAGTTCGAGTGGACCTTGTGTGCTTGAAGCAATTAAGATACAGGGAATTAGTCTGAGCAACTGGTAATGAGGCGGATTGCTCCATGCAGTCCAGTATACAAAAGAGGAGGAAGAGGGCTTTCCAAACAGCCATCTGAAACATCGGAGACAAGACCAGAGTTATAGGTTAGAAATCATCTGCGACCACGTGCGCCTTCATGGGATAAACTAATGAACGAACAGTTTGTGCAGCTGCTTAAACTCCCAACGATTAAGTAAAATAAGCTGACTTGGACTTCCTGTAAAATTGCTATGTATAGAAAGTAACACTTCTGAAGAAAATGAATATGGCAGATGGGAAATTTAACAACATTTCTCTAAGAAATTCCACGCCTCATCTGTCATCCCCTGCCACATGACATCCATATGCTTTCTTTCTTAAATTCCAATAAATGGTTAAACTGTGAAAAGGAAGCTCTTTTTTTCTATGTCCTCTTCTTTTTCAGCCTTGCACCTAAAAGTGTCTGTGCAAAGACCTGAAGTCAAATCTCTTGAGTACAGATAAAACTGACTTCAGCAGGTGGTTGCCACTGCAGGAATCATGTAATTAGAAGCGTTGTATGTCTTGTCCCTTTCAGGTTTCCTGACTCAGTTGTAATTAATCAGCAGAAAAAAGAAACAAAAATCTTCCTTTTTTAAAAAAAGTTTCTTCTTTTTGTTGTTACATACGCTCTCGATGCAAAACAGTCTTCATGCTGAGTCAGTCAATCACTTATTAACTGGAAGAATAACAGTTCCCTGATCTCCCAGTTCAATGTACATTAAGACAGCACAGTCATTAAGCAAACATAAACACACTGTATATATATACATACATACACACATATACACATATATATATATGTGTATGTGTGTGTGTGTGTGTGTGTGTGTATGTATGTATATATATACACAGACACACACACACACATATCAATATCTATATATATACATATATAGATATTGATATCTATCAGAAAAACACAAACACCCTCAGACTCTTGTAAACTAGTGTAACATGGGCTTACCTCGGAGGAGTAGTGAGTAGTGGTGTAGTGCCACTCGCAGCAAGATAATTTCATGCTTTACTGGCACTCACAAACACTATATATTCTCATGTTCTTGCTTTCGGTTTCACATGGTGTCTGGACTTTTTGTTTTTTTTTTCCTCTCTCTGCCGTCTCGCTCTCTCTCTCACTAAGCATCTTGTGGTGACTGTATGATTCAGAAAAAGTCATTCACTGTGAAACTAAAATAGGACTGCCGTCTTTATTTTTTGCTACCCCCCCCCCCCCCCCCACACACACACACACACTTGTAATCATCATGCTTGTAAACTGCTTTTCTTTTGTGTCTATCTATTTCTTTACTCTATACTCACAAATCTGTCCATTTTTAGGTCGTTTAAACATGGACGAATTGATAAGACAGAAAAGAAAAGGAAGCATGAGAATAAGCATCTACTTTTTAAAAAAATCATCTGTTTGAGCTGTAACTGCCACTCTGGCAAGTTGACCGCAATGCTCAGCGTTTAGTTTACACAATAAATAAAAACATAACTTTCTTAATTCCTGAAATGTCCAGTAATTTACCTCGGGAAAGGGGAAAGATGGAAAAACACTTCATCAACATCAAACACTTTTTGACTGTGCATCTTTAGGGAATATTTCAGTCTCATGATGTGGACAAGTTACAACAAGCAGTTTCACTGAATGTCAGGGAAACAAGATGGAAAAAAAGACCAATTTAAAAAAAAACACCCATGATGTCATCAATTGCATCACTTGAAAGCGCAAGTCAGGAACCCACACACTCACTGCTAAAGCAATTTAACAATTGTAGCTATACACAGATTATAATTAAAGACTTCTGGATCTTTTTTTCGTTTTATATATATAACGAAAAAAAGATCCAGAATCCTTTAATAGTAATATATATGTATTTATATATATCTTTGAATGATGTTATCCTAAATCCTTTTGAGTCCTTCTTCTTGTATCCTCCTTAAAGGTACCTGTTTTGATATCAGCATTCCCTTATAAGAATAAAAAAAAAACACAGTTTAAATAAATAAAATTAAATAATTAGGAATTCATGATATTTTACTGAAATTTGTGCTGCCTGGTTTGAGGTATTTTGCAGCTTTCAGGTAGGTTCAGGTCTCTTCAAGTAAAAATCAAAATCATTCAAGTTCTATTCCAGAAAATTGCTTAACTGTAAAGGGGTTGATAATGATTTTGAGGTAAATTCCCAACCAGACATGAATTCAGTGCCTTCAGTACTGGAAGTCACCTGAGATTAAAAGAAAAGACAGCCGGAGCAGTAATCTGTTATCATGTTGAAATTTGATCCGTCGTTATTGGACCAAATATAGTTTTGCACGGTACGATGCCATGGAAAGTGCATCTGATTGTTTTTTGTTTGTGTTTTTTAGTGCGGAAAATACATGCCTGCTGAATTTTTACATTTGACGCAACTTAAATCAATTTCTGACTGTTTGGTACAAATCACAGCATTTTTTTAAATCACAGATTTAAATAATTCTCACATGATTATTATTTTGGTTTGTTTTTGTGCAGAATTCATTGACTATATAAAAACATGTTCCTAGAGTCATTTCACAGTAACCCAGTGTGCCAGTTGAAACTGTGTAAGACAAACTTCAACAGGTAATGCTACATGAGACCCATCACAATATATTTAGTTCATGTGTAAATAATGTTCTACACAAATATTACATTTCGTTTTTTAATATTAGATTTTAATGAGTTAGCTTAGACCTGTTTTTCATTTGTCTTGCTGCCTAATTTCCTAACTTCAGCCAGTAAATTTCAGTACAGAAGCAAGTTTTATCTTGTGACAGAGCAATGTGTCTTCTCTAACAGTTTACCTTTGCTTTTGTGTTGTTTTACTCTGTGTAAAATTGATCTTTCGGACAGTGGAGGAAACTCAAATGGGTAGCTTTACTAACAACCAAGCTTAAGCTAAATAAAATGCATTTTCAGAACAACTCTGAAGAGGAACATAAAGATATTCTGTAAGATCTTAAATTAGGTTTGGGTATTCACACAGTGTTTTTTAGACAACTTTCCAGAGTCGGTATGTTTTTGTGAAATTTCTGATATGCATTTGGTTTCAAACTATGAAAAATTCTTATCCCTAGAAATTTTATTGACAGGAGGTTTCACCCTACCTCTTTGTTGTGTGACAGTTTCACTTTGGCATTTAAGTTATGGTTTCAGTGAATTCGCTTGTTGAAGCCACAGGTTGTTTTTATCTAGACAGTCATAATAATTCTGTTTTTGGTCTGTGCTTTTTTACTAGCTGCTGGTTATTAATCTGTTATTAACTTGCTGTAACCAAATGTGACTGGCTTTCTCCTGTGCGGCCTTTTTAGACTCCACTGACGACGCTTCTAGCACAAGTACAGGCCTGTGTTTCTCACCTGTCTGACAGAGTTCATAGAAACAACTGGGACACTTTGTTGGCAGAAAGAAGAACAAGAGCCAGCTGCACACTTTGTAGTCTTGAAAACAACACGTTTCTGACCTGACTTTTACAGCGATACAGCAGAAACACCCCAGGATTTCTATTTAGCTTGGATTACTTGTATATAACAAAAACGGGGTACGAATGTTTTCGTGGGGTCAGGTTAATTCACTTCTAACGCTCCAGCCTTTCATGCACCTTCATGGTGGGGATTTTGAAATTTGTACTTTGTACTGTGAAATTATGCATTTATACTTGGCTGGTTTTCTTTTTCTGCATCTACTGTTTTTTTTTTATAAAGCAAAGATTACAATAAATCAAATTACACATTATGTTTTTTCACTGAGTCTTGTTAAACATACAGTATAAAGATTTAAAATCTTGGATACTTAGGATTCTTTTAATTTGGAAATGCTAGAGAGACGTCAGGTTATCCTACATTTATTTAAAGTATCTGCTGTTACATAAAAACATTTCACACAGTCAGACTGGATATGCTAAACGTCTATATCAGTGTTGGTTTGTTTAACTCCAGAACAATCTCTAAAGTTTCTTTGAACTGCGCAAACAAATGAGGGCTAGGTAAAACTATTTAACTCTTCACATAGTTATTCTGATTCTGGTTTACAGTTTTTCACTTGTCATTTCGAACTATGGTACTACTTCCTTGCCCTTAATCTCTGAATTCAGGTGTTTCCAGTCGTATTGCCATGGGTATAAGATGAAGCATTAAGCCATGCAGTCTGCCTTCTAAAGAATTCACAGAATTTCAGTGTGATACTGTAACAGGATGCCGCTGTTGCAACAAGTCATGTTGTGAAATTTCTTCCCTCAGACATATCCCATGATGTAAGTAGTAAGTGGTAATATTGTGAAGCTGAACTACAGGAACTCAGGCACATAGCAGACCACATAAAGTTAGAGTCACATATAACGAGAGAGGAGTCGCCAAGTGCAAGGCGCGTAGTACAAAAGTCACCAACATTGTGCTAAATGAATAAAAATAAATGAGTTTCAAACCTCATCTGCTATTAGCATCAGCATAGTAACTGTGCACTGGGAGCTTCAAGGCCATGGAAACCCTTCCTTCTGTGTGACAACTGGGTGGCTCGGTGCTTTTGCCCATGCAGTTTAAGTTGTAAAAACATTAATATTATAACTTTTTATAAGCATTATTTAATTATATAATTCTTTTAAAATCACACAAAGTACTTCATTAGCTTAACATGATAGCATTTTGCAAAGGCTGATAGTTCAGTCAGTGCTGAGACATTGATCTATGAGCTCTGTTTTTAGTTTCTGTAAGTACTCCCTCCAAAGCACATCGGACAAGCTGAAGGCTTTTCAGAATTTTATTAAATCAAAGTAATAATAAAGAAGTATGGTAACAGTGTGCACTGGAAGTAACAAATTTGTGGATTTCTTTTTTCAATATCACCAAATGTGGTAACTTAATTTGTATCCGAATTTAGATGCAGGAAATTAAAGGGGTTTCAGGTCCATTTGTCTTTTAGACATTCTAACTGAGCATAAATGGGTTTCATCCATGTTGCAATGGAAATGTACTTTCAATATTTCCTTTGAGCCTCTAAATGATGGAGAGTATCAACCCAACGCTGTAACCCTGGCCTTTTTATATCAATTGATGTCTTCAAGGTAAGTTAGTGTTAAGGGTTGATGATAGATTTCGGCCTTTTTGCAATATCCTCCTGAGAACTGTGGAAAAAACTGCACCTTTTTGTGATTTCCTTCCTCTCTGGAGCTAATCAAACACACGAGAAATCAATGGAAAGCCCAGGATGTCCTCTATTTCGTACATCAAGACTTAGTAAGGTACCTCAAATGAGTCAAACGATATAGATCAAAAACAAATGTCCATTATAGAAGACATAGGAAATAAGGCTGGTTCTCAGGAGAATATAATGTCACTGTGGTGGAGCGTGGACTGCGGTGCCGTGCGCACGCACGTGCATGGCATCCGCAATCATGCCCACTGTGTTAAAACACGGGGAATAAGGGTTGGGGAAGATGTGTGGAATGTGGTGTGATGGCTCTCAGTAACAGCCTCTGGACCCACCGTGTGAGACTATTGAAAATTCATAGGGACATGTACACTGCAAGCTTATAAAACCTACAAGACAATAAAGTGGTCTGATTTTGATGCCGGTCATAAAAATCTTACTTCTCTATGAAAAAGAAAATGCTGAGCTCTTTGTGAACTGTCATGTGGTCAGTGGGGAGGGAAGGGGTGAAGTCGGAAAAGGGCTTCCCTCATTTTCATTACCTGTTTTCGCTTATTTTCTTGAAACAGTAATGTTAAATCCCCCACGTTTTGTACAATTTACTCTCAGCCTATTTGTGTTTCATGCAATTGTGGTTTTAAGCATCCTTTTAGTTTTGCTATGAATTTCTTCCAGTTTTTCAACTTTTTCTATAAACAGCAAACCCAGATTTTGGCTTATTGTAAACACATACAGTCACGAGAAAAAGAAGTCTGTCACAGGACTCTGTTTTGTGAAAACTAAGCACATGAACATGAAGTTTGCAGGCATTTCTTCAGTGCACAGCTATGTTAAGGTCCCACAGCAGCATT